CACAAAGTTGCCGCATAATGCTGCAGAATGATATTGCAGACGTCAAAGAATGTGTCGAATAAGAAATGTTGCGGTGTAATTTTTGCCGAATAAGTTATAAGCCGAGTTGATCATATGCAAGCAGGGTTCATAATGCCGATGAATTATATTGCCGAATAAGTTGACATATAACGTTGTGAGCCGAATAACGTAGATAATGGGGCGGGATTGTCCGATGCAGTGACGTATGGGCGGCCGAGTAGTCTTGAGGCCGAGTAGTGTTGCCGAGTAAGCAATGAGCCGATTGAGTCAGTAAGTTGCCGAATTAATTGTGGATATAAGTTGGTTCGTTGGTTTCCGTATATCCGTAGTTGTGATAGCCGAATGTAAAAGAAATTCGAGTTGAGGTGAGTGATCGGTGAAGATGGATGATCATGGCCCAGCCCTAGGAGCCTGCTTACTAAAATTGCACGTTGATTGGACATGATCTGACCGGTGAACTATCATTTAACGTCCCCGATTTGCCAATTGATTGATCCCAAGCTAATACTCAAAATTCACAAAATTGTACCTCAAAAATGGATTCTACACAGCAAAAAACTAGAGGGTAGGCATCCTCGAAATTACTGGACCATCCGATTAACTGGAATGCGGTAAGATGCAACGGAGCACATTGTGCCGAGAAGTGCATGATAAATTCTTATTTCATCACCTTCATGCTGCATGCCGTGAAAGGCAGAGTTTTCTAGTTTTGAGCTCGTGACTTTGAGGCCTTGTATCTCCTTCGTTTTAAGTCCGATTTTGACGCGGCTTATGGCGTTAGACTCGTCTTGATGAGGAATTCACACCGGTATAGTCAAAGCTTGAGTTCGACAAGGCTGAAAAATGTAAATTTTGAGACATTTAGTTGATTTTGCAACTATTGCGGCCTACGGTTAGCTCGTGGCTTTACTAGTCGGTGTTTGTGACTTCGTTAGTTGACGTGAACCTAGTGGTAGGCCACCAAATTCTTGCTCGCATGAAGAAAAATGTAGACCCACTTGCTAGAGAGAGAAATTGGGTACGTAAACGGTGTCGGTGACACTTTGGCTGGCCGAAGCACTTGGTTCTCAACATTGTGGTTCAGGAGGTCAGACATGGTTTGAGAGACGAATTAATAAACGGGTGGAGGTCGTGATTGAATGGCCGTTTAGTGTGGAATGGTTGCCGAGCAGCTTTGTAGCCTTGCCGAGTAGGCGTAGTTGTAATAGCTGGATCTTAAGTTTGTAATAGCCGGATCTTGGTTGGCAACTTCTCTTAGCTTCACGATGTGCCGAATCACTTGGTCGGCATCTCTTTGTATTTGGCTTTGCTGAGAATGTGGTTGGAAAGACTGCTTTATGCATGCAACACCTTCAAGAATAAAGAATCACCTTGTGTTGGCATCAACGTAAGCCATTATAGAAAAAGTGAAACCAACTTGTGTACATGTGCATATATATAAAGAATCACCTTCAAGATATGTTTTGTGAAACAAAGAATAAATAAATAAACAGATAGACGCATGTATTAATTTAGCCGAGCAACTGTATTGACTTGTCGAAAAGATGTTCGTACCAATAAAGGTGTGAAACCCATTTTTAGAGAGAGAAAAAAGCTACTAACTTCATCTTGTTTTGACAACCTTTCTAAGCAATATTAATATTCAACAATGCTTTGATCAAATCTGTGATCATAAATAGATACATACATAGATGTGTGTATATATATATATATACATATATGTATACCTGAACTTTAGCAAAAAACATAATCAGAATGAAAGAAGCCAAAAACCCAGTTGTGGGCCGTATTACTTGGGATTGATTTTGCTTTTGTAGAAAGTGCACTGACCTCAAAGCAACTAATATATGTTTACTTACAGCAGTATATTTGTTGTGTTCTTCGTTGATCTCATTCAGTCGTTCCCACAGACGGCGCCAATTGTGAGACCATGAAATATCCTCTCACATGGATGTTGTGGAGATCCAACGAAGAGAAGAGCTTCACCCCTGTAGATCTGCAATGATGAACATAGTTGGTGCCACCCAATCGGGGTTGCTGGTAGGGGACTCTCCGATGATGAAGTCAGTCATTGAATCAAGGAAGAAATAGCATATACATTTGAAGGGGTGCGTGTTTTGTAGAGAGAGATGAGAACATACCTTCCACTTGGGATGGCCCCTCCTTTATATAGATGGAGGGTGTAATATTTGTTTGGGTTGAACCCATTGTAGGCTTTGTTGGGGTTAGGCCCAATAAGCTAGTACTTATAATTTTCTGGCTCCCACAATTATATATGTATGATTATTGAGGAGAAGAAAGGGGATGTACTCCATGTGTGATTATGTGTTTATATATATTGTATATGTATGATTGTTTAGAAGGAGAAAGAGGATGGACTCCATTATAATTAAGTTGGCCGGAGTGTCCTGGGTGAAAGTCCTAAAATTTATACATGGGTGCCAATCTCGAGAACGAAATATCCGTAAAATGACAATTGGAAGTGTTTGTGTGTTGTTTGTGAAATTGTTAAACCATTGAGTTGTAGTCTCATTTGGGTTATTGAAAGATAATAAAATTGGCTCATGTATTGAAACGGATTGAAGGGAAATCAAATGATATATGAGCTTGGTGTTCTATGACTATATAAATGTGATCATTTTATTTTCGGTATTATAAATGCATATTGCACTTATACCTTTGTTAAACCTCATATACTGTGTTAGATTATTCCTTCTGGGCTATGGCTCACCCTATTTGGGAAAAACATTTTCAGGTAATTATGGCATACCTCTACCAAGACAATAGCATTTGAGGGACTTTTGGGAAGCAAGAGCTTCTTACTTTGTTTCACTTTTGTGTAGCCTAGGGCTAAAATTGTATGAGCCAGTCTCACTTTTGTTGCAACCAAACCAAGACTTGGAAAAGTGTAAGCCTGAAAAACATCTATTTACGTTAAACTCCGTTGTACTATTAATGTTATGAAATGAAAAAATATTATACTCTAATTTTGCTGTCATTTATGTATGCTTTCGGGTTATATTTAGTGTGTACTTTTAAGGGCATTACAAGTTCAATGATTTCACAGATCAATGTAACGTGGTAGATGTGCAACTGCTAGGTAAAAAATATACTTGGCGCAATGCGTTTGACGGAAATAGATGTAGTAGAATAGACAGGTTTCTTTTTCACCTTGAGTGGATGAAAAGGTTTAAGTTCAAACTGTAGGGTCTTCCCAGAATAACATCTGATCACTGCCCTATTGTGCTCATGGAGGATGAGAGGGATTGGGGACCTAAACCCTTCATGGTTTTGAATGCCTGGCTTCTGCATCCTAATTTTGCTCCATTTGTGGAAACAACTTGGAGATAATCACAGTGGATTAGAGCTGCTAGTTTTATTCTGTAGAGGAAGATGCATAGTATGAAGTTGGCACTAAAAAATGAAATAGAAAAGTTTATGGAAATATTGCATCCAAACTACAAGATTCCGAACAAGAGCTTAATGTTCTAGATTTGAGAGCTGAATCTCAACCATTGGATCAAGCAAGGTAGATTAGGTGTATGAAAAATTGAGATGTCAACATCTGCTTACTTCTCAAACGGTAGTGGAGGTTTGTCACTGAACATGATTCATTATGGAAGAGGGTACTCTGCAGTAAATACAGGTTTGAAAGAGGGGAATGGTTACCAAATCTCAGCTCAGGTATTATTGTCTCAAGAACTTGGAGTGACATTCTAGCAGCTGTTGAGCAAAAAGATAATCTGTTATTGTACTATGTCTTTAAGCTATAGTTAAAAGTGGGCAATGGTTGCAGAATAAGATTCTGGCATGATAAATGGTGTGGAGATATCTACCTTAAAGAGGAATTCCCAAGGTTATTTTGGTTGTCTACTGCTAAAGAGAGCTCACTTAAGGACCTAGTGGTGGGCACAACCAACCCACAAACCTGGTTACTCAATTTTAGAAGACCCCTATTTGAATGGGAAAAGGAAAAACTTCTCAAACTCAATGGTATCTTACAAGCAGCTCCTGCACTGAATCTGGAGGTTAAGGGTAGAGTAGTGTGGTTAGTGGCAAAATCTGACCAATCCCTTGTCTCTGTTTTTTATAAACATACTAATCTAGAGTTTGGAGAAAAATGTCAGCTTCTGTAGAATGGTAAGGATCAAATATCTTCCCCCAAAGTGCAATTCTTTGGACGGCTAGCATGGCAAAATAAGGTGAAAACTCCAGTGTTCTTGCAAAGGCTGGGAATTTTGGATAGGGATGGATATACCTTGTGTATCTTCTGTAAAGCTCATCAGGACACATCCAAATATGTACTAATACTTTGTCCCATAGTGTGGAGGGTTTGGTCTGGGCTGTTGCAACAGTGGGGGGTTTTATGGGCTGCACCTGGATCTATACAAGGTCTGTTACACTGGTGGGTAGGGCACTGCTGCAGGAAAAATGAAAGAAAAATTTGGGGTGCAATTCCACTAGTGGCTCTTTGGCCGATATGGAAGCACAAAAATGAGTGTCTTTTTGCAAGCTCTCAACCAAAGATGCAGGAGCTATAGGAACTTATTATCACAAGGATTGCTATTTGGTATAAAGTTGCAACAAAGGGGACTCCATTCTCGATTGATGATTTCATTCATAACTTGTCACAAATGAGATCTTGTTTAGGTGGAAGGAACTAGAGGTTCTGTTATTGTGGTGCTTGACATTTTGTTTTTGTTTTTGTTTTGGAGGAGGCTACTGGGGTGTTTGTAGTTGGAATCTCTCTAACTCCTTTTGGGGACTTGGGGTTGCACATAATTAGTCTTGCTTTGGCTGTCAACCTAGTTGGGATGCTTTGCTAAGATAATGATGCACTTTCCTCCTAACTTTTGTATATTTTTCTCTCTTTTATCTAATATAATATTTCTTGCTTGCCGCTAAAAAAAAAAAAAAAAGTGCAAATTTCTAGTTATGTAATTTTGGGAAAGTTTGAATCTAATGAGTTATTCGTGCAGGGCTGTGAGGCATCTGTGCTTTTGAACTCTACCAATAATAACCAAGCAGAGAGAGATGCAATTCCCAATCTAAGCCTGAGAGGATTCCAAGTTATTGATGCTGTGAAAGCTGCAATAGAGAAAGCATGTCCTGGTGTTGTTTCATGTGCAGATATTTTAGCCCTAGCAGCTCGTAATGCAGTTTAGTGGTAACAAATATCTTCTATTAGATTTATCAAGATTGAGAATCAATCACTCACATGTTCACTAATATTATGAAGTTTCTTTGTAGATAAATGGACCATTTTGGCCAATTCCAACCGGACGAAGAGATGGAAAGATTTCAATTGCCGCTGAAGTCTTGACTAATCTACCAACCCTTTTTTTTTAACGTAACTCAATTGAAAGCATCTTTTGCCTCTAAGGGTTTAAACATTAAAGACCTTGCAATTTTGTCAAGTAAATTAGAAGTTTATTTTAAATATATATACGGTATCATCTGATACGTATTAGATTTTTGTGTTTATGATACGCATATATCCCAATTTCTCAATAGGAATGAAAATCACATGCATATTGACCGATTTTGGTTCAGAGTCAATTCATAGTTGATATAGTCAATTCATTGCTATAAAGTACTTTTTAGGCATTGGATTTTCTAAAATATTCATGATTGCATTACTCAATTTTTTATACATATTGCTTTATACTTTTGATAACGGTGGATTGGGCTATTTAAAACCTTTCTTGTGTTTGAACTAGTAATAAGAAATCTTTCAAGAATCATCCCAAAAAATTGACTTAATATTGATTTAATTCCTTTTCTTTCTCTCTATCTCTCTCTCTCTCTCTCTCTCTCTCTCTCTCTCTCTCTCTCTCTTTTTCTTTTTTTTTTTTTTTGGTTAAAGGAGGACACACCATAGGAATTTCTCACTGTCCTTCCTTCTCGAACGGCTTGTACAACTTCACCGGCAAAGGTGACACTGACCCGAAAATGGACCAGAATTACATAGCTCAGTCGAAGAAGAAATGCAAGCCAGGAGATACAACTACAATTGTTCAGATAGACCCAGGAAGCTCAAAAATATTTGATACTGATTACTACACTGTAGTGAGTAAAAGAAGAGGATTGTTTCAATCCGACGCTACTTTTCTCACTAACAGTACTACCAATGCTTAAGTCTAACTTCAGAAAACTCCCAAAGGATCTACTTTCTTGAAAGATTTTGCAAATTCGATGGTGAAGATACGTCAGATTCGTGTCTGTTAAAGTTGTTAGGATCTTCTACCTGATAGGGTTCGGGTTTCCTTGTTTTTAGGATTGTAGTGCTTTGAAGTCCTGTATAATAATCCCTAGTCTTAAGGGGCAAGTTATTTTCTGTTTAGATTTAGTCATGCATCACGATTCTAGGGCTGTAAAGTCGTGGGTTGTTATTTTCCTTTCTGCTTTGAAGTAAGGCTATTTAATAGCCATGTTGGTTCTTTAATTTAATAAGGAGTTCTCTCTGCATCTGAGAGTAATTGTGCTTTTGTTTTTGTAAAGTTCTTTGTCGTTGTGCTTGGTTTTAACATATGGTATCAGAGCTCTATCACGGGGCCTAACAGCTTGTACCACAGCCATCAGCGTGAAAGAACAACATGACAAGCGAAAGAAACTTTGTGCAGCTTGCTATCGCACGATTCGATGGACACTACGATCACTAGAGCATGCTTATAGAGAATTTTCTGCGTTCAAAGGAGTATTGGAGTTTGGTGGAAACTGGAATCTTTGCAGTAGCGGAACGGATGGATCTCACTGAGGGACAGAAGAAGGTGATTGAGGATCAAAAGCTGAAGGACCTGAAGGCTAAAAACTATCTATTCTAAGCCATTAATCGATCATTTTGGAGACAATATTGAAAAAGGACACAGCAAAGGATATCTGGGACTTTTTGAAGCAAAAATACCAAGGGACAGCACGAGTTAAATGTGCTCAACTCCAAGCCCTTCGCAAAGAGTTTGAAATGTTGCACATGAAAGTTGGGAAATTAGTGAATGACTATTTTGGAAGAACCCTCATCACAACCAATAAGATGAGAATTCATGGCAAAAGAATGGAGGAGATGATGATCATCGAGAAGATCTTGAGATCCATGACTCCAAAGTAAGACTATATTGTATGCTCAATCGAGAAATCAAATGATTTGGATACTTTATCCATAGATGAGCTTCAAAGTAGTCTTTTGGTGCATGAATAATGGATTAGCCATCACATTATGGATGAACAAGCCTTTCAAATCACTCACAGACTTTAACTAGGAGGAAGAGGTGGTGGTAAAGGTTCTTACCGAGGAAGAGGAAGAGATAGGGGTAGGTTTGATAAATCTAACCTAGAGTGTTATCACTGCCATGAGTTGGGTCATTTTTAGTGGAAATGCCCCCCAAGAGCAAAAGCTACAAAGGTCAACTTTGTCGAGACCAGTGAAGAAATGCTTTTAATGGCGTATGTAGATGGTAATGAGGCTGGAAGAGATCACTTGTGGTTTCTTGACTCTGGGTGTAGTAATCATATGTGTGGGAAAAGAGAGTTATTCTCACAATTTGAAAACAATTTCAGAGAGAAAGTGAAGCTAGGCAATGATATGAGTCTCACTGTGCAAGGGACGGGCAACATTCGAATGGAGATAAATGGGATTGTGCAGGTGATTACTGAAGTTTTCTTTGCGCCAGAGTTGAAGAACAATTTACTAAGCATTGATCAATTGCAAGAGAAAGGTCTTGCAGTGCTCATGCAACATAGAAAGTGCAAGATTTATCATCCTGAAAAAAGGTTTAATCATGGACACCGAGATGGCATGCAACAGAATGTTTGCTGTGCTTGGTCACTGTCCACCAAAAGAGGAAAAGTGTTTCTCCTCTATAACCACAGATCAAACTCAACTCTGGCATTGCTCTTACGGTCATCTTAGTTAGAATGGTCTCAAGGTGATCCAACAAAAGAATATGGTGGATGGTTTGCCTCAGTTGAAGGCTCCTTTAAAGATCTGCGAAGACTGCTTGATAGGAAAACAACATCGCGATCCTTTTCCAAAGGAAAGCATATGGTGGGCATCTGGAATTCTTCAGTTAGTGCATGCAGACATATGTGGGCCAATAAAACCAATCTCGAACAGGAAAAAAAGGTATCTCATTACTTTTATCGATGACTTTAGTAGAAAAACCTGGGTTTGTTTCTTAGTTGAAAAATGAGAAGCATTTGTTACCTTTAAATCCTATAAAGCTAGAGTTGAGAAAGAAATCGGTGCATTCATAAAGAGTCTTCGAACTGATCATGGGGATGAGTTTACATCACAAGAGTTCACTCACTTTTGTGATAAGAACGACATTCAAAGGCAATTAACAGCAGCTTATACACCTCAATAGAACGGGGTTGCAGAGAGAAAGAATCGCATTATCACGAATATGGTGCACAATATGCTGTCAGAGAAGCAAATCCCAAAGAATTTATGGCCTGAAGCAGTGAATTAGACAGTGTATGTCTTGAATAGAAGCCCGACACTTGCTATGAGAAACAAGACACCAAAAGAAGCCTGAAGTGGGTTCAAGCCTTCAGTAAGTCACTTTAGGGTGTTTGGATGCATTTCCCATGTTCATGTACCTGATAGCAAGAGAGTAAAGCTCGATGCCAAAAGTCTGAAATGCATATTACTTGGGGTAAGTGAAGCATCCAAGGCTTACAGGTTATTTGATCTAATTTCTCAAAAAATAACCATGAGTCGAGATGTGGTTTTTGAAGAAGACCATAGGTAGAACTGGGATGATAGTCATAAGGAAAATATTTTGGCTGATTTGGAATGGGAGGAAGATGAAGATGCAGGGACAAATGAAAGCCTTGGGGAGGAAACTGATGCAAACATCACTCTTGAACATGAACTTGAAAATATAGGATACGTTCCAAGTGACTTACTCGAAAAGGGAGAGTCTTCAAGTGATGGCAGTCCTTTTCATGGAGGATGAGTTCGAAGACCACCAGGGTGGATGCAAGATTATGTAAATGGGCAGGGCTTTTTCGATGAAGAAAATGTCGATGTGGCTCATTTAGCCTTATTCTCTGAACATGATCCCTTGACATACAAGGATGCAGTGAAGAGTAGCAAATGGAGACAAGCCATGAATGCAGAAATCAAAGCTATTGTGAAGAATGATACATGAGAACTCACCAAGCTGCCATCTGGAGTAAAGACAATTAGAGTAAAATGGGTTTTTAAAACGAAACTCAATGAACATGGGGAAGTGGACAAATACAAGGCTCGGCTCATTGTGAAATCGTGCAATCAACAGTATGGAGTGGATTATGCTGAGGTGTTTGCACCAGTAGCTCGTTTAGATACCATTCGAGTAGTCATCTCACTTGTTGCCCAGAAAAGCTGGATGATCTAGCAACTAGACGTCAAATCTACGTTTTTGCATGGAGAAATAGATGAAGAAGTGTTCGTGAATCAACCACCAGGTTATGAACAAAAGGGATAGGAACATAAAGTATGTTGACTGAAGAAGGCTTTGTATGGACTCAAACAAGCTCCCTGAGCTTGGTACAGTCGAATAGAGACCTATTTTGTTCAAGAAAGCTTTGAGAAGTGCCCTTATGAGCACACTTTGTTCTTAAAAAGGGCAGATGGAGGTAAATTTTTGATTGTGTGCCTTTATGTTGATGATCTTATATTCACTGGTAATGATAAGATTATGCTTGAACACTTTAAGAAATCCATGACGATGGAATTTGACATGACTGATCTTGGTAAAATGAGGTATGTTCTTGGAATTAAAGTTTTGCAAAGGGTGGATGGTATTTTCATCAGTCAACGGAAGTATGCTTAGGAGGTTTTGGAGAGATTCAATATGGCCCAGTGCAATCCAGTGCACAATCCAATGGTTCCTGGCTTTAAACTCACTAGGGATGAAAATAGAGTAAGGATCGATGGGACATATTACAAACAGATCGTGGAAAGCCTTATGTACTTGACTGCCACTCGTCTCGATTTGATGTTTGTAGTAAGTTTAATTAGCAGATACATGGAACGACCCACTGAGACTCATTTGCAAGCAGCGAAAAGAGTGTTAAGGTATGTGAAGGGTACAATAAGTTTTGGATCATTCTACAAGAATGGAGGAACTAAGGAACTTGCTGGCTACACAAATAGCGATTACGCTGGTGATCAGAACGATAGGAAGAGCACCTCTGGCTATGCTTTTATTCTGAGTTCGAGTGCAGTGTCTTGGTCTTCTAAGAAACAGCCAGTAATCACTCTTTCAACTACCGAAGCAGAGTTCATCGCTGCTGCATCTAGTGCTTGACAAACTGTGTGGCTAAGGAGGATTTTGGAGAAGTTTAATCATGGTCAATACAGACCAACAGTGGTTCGCTATGATAACATCTCAGCTATTAAACTGTCAAAGAGTCCAGTCATGCGTGGTCGTAGCAAACACATTGATGTGCGCTTTCATTTTCTTCAAAATCTCATCAAAGATGAAGTTATTGAATTGGTGTAGTGTTCTACTCAGGAGCAAATAGCAAATATTTTGACGAAGCCACTAAAGCTCGCGGTGTTCGTGAAGATGCATGGTCTTATGGGTGTCTGCGAATATCTAGGGATAAACTGAATATTGATAGCATTCAGTTTAAGGAGGATGTTAAAGTTGTTGGGATCTTCTACCTGATAGGGTTTAGGTTTCCTTGTTTTTAGGATTGTAGTGCTTTGAAGTCCTGCATAATAATCCCTAGTCTTAAGGGGCAAGTTATTTTTTGTTTAGATTTAGTCATGCACCACAATTCTAGGGCTATAAAGTCGTGGGTTGTTATTTCCCTTTCTGCTTTGATGTAAGGCTATTTAATAGCCATGTTGGTTCTTTAATTTAATAAGGAGTTCTCTTTGCATCTGAGAGTAATTGTGCTTTTGTTTATGCAAAGTTCTTTGTCGTTGTGCTTGGTTTACTGGCAATTCTTGTGAAATTTAAAAAATATGTTCCCGCATCAACTAATAGCTAATTTTCTCGTATTTTCTTTTCTTTTCATTTTTCATTATATGTTGTTAAATTGGTTATTAAATCTGCAGCTGAATTATAGTTTTTTTTTTTTTTTTTTTTTTTTTTTTTTTTTTTTTTTTTTTGGGTAAGGATATGTGTATCTTGCTTTTGTAAAGTTGTCATCTTATGGTGTATGGTCTAAGCTTATATGCAATCACTTATTTATTCCTCCAATTAATAAGATTGTATTTTTATTTTTTTACATGATTCCATTTGTTCAAATTTTATACTTTTAGGTTGGGTTTAGATCATTACTTTTGATAGGGTTATAAAAGGAAAAAGAAAAAATACCAGTGAAATATAATTATATTTTATTCGTATTTCATCTATATTTTCTCTTTACCTTTTCAAATCTATTATCCAAGCAAAGGAATTCCTACATTGTGTTTGGTTAAGAGATTTGGGAAGGTATTTAGAAAGAGCAAGGGAAAAAATGTAGGTGAAATATAAATAAAATATACTTACATTTCATTTAATTTCACACACCATTTTCCTTTTTTCTTTCCAAATAACTTTCCAAATTCTCTAACCAAACATAACGTAAATGTCCAATCTAAGTCGCTTATGGTTCTCAACTTGGTGTTATCATTTTCATCATAAACTATTAGTCATGTGAGGACATGAAAGAAAATGGATTGAACAGGGTCTAGTAGTCCCACATAGAAATATATACAAATTCCTATAGTATAACAAGTAATGGGGGGTATGAAAGATTGAGATGAAGTAGATATTGAGATGGATTGGTTTAGTTTTTGAATGCCTGTAATTAGATATCGACATGTTTCCTACTTTTATAGAGGTTTTATTTTTCTTATGTGTTAGGTTCATAAATTTAGGTAGAAATTAAAAAATAAAAGAGAAAAGATGTATAAAATGTAATTATATTTTATTCATATTTCACTTACTCTTTTCCCCCCCCTCTAAATTCCTACCGAAATTCATAAACCACACAGACACAACCTAAGTGCCACAATTTTGAAGGCCATATTTGTTTGGCAAATTGGATTAGATGGGATTAAGAACTATTAATTCTATAATAATCAACTCATCTGGGTTGTATAACATATCTAATCTTTGGAATAACACGATACTACTATAAATTTATAATTTAATCAATTTTAGGGAAATTCTATGGTACACATCCCTCTAAGGGTGTGCACCATATGCACCCTATTATAAATTAATATAATTTTCTTGTAAAATTTCGTAATATCAATTACAAAATGCGTAATATCGTCACAAATTGACGTAACAAAAAATATCGTAACCAAGTCGCAAACTTTTGTTCTATGAATTACAAAATTTTGTGATTTTTGTTATATGAATCACAAAATTTTGGACATTTTGTTATGCTAATTTGTGGCAATATTATGCATTTTGTGGTTTATGTTACGAAATTTTGTGATAATGTTATGTCAATTATGATAGGGTGCATATGGTGCACACCTTTACCATAGGATTTCCCATTAACACCAACTTATCTTTAAAATAAGACTCAACTTCTTCATAATGGTTGTCTCACGTTCAGATTTTCAAATCGGCTTATTGGAGTCTCCATGCCCTGTTTCAATTGTAGACTTGACTCTTCTAGAGTCTATAAAACACCAGCAATACTACGAACGCAAACTTAACTATCTACAAATTATTTAGAATTATCATCTTATAGTTCAAATTTATATGAATCCCACATTACCCAAATTTAATCTCCACCATACAATTCCCTACCCAAAAAAATCTGGGCTCTTAAGTTTGTGTCCCTGAACTTTTTCATAAAACACAGGCTAGTTCAATGTTCATATACCCCCAACCTAGCTTCAAAAAATTTCAAGACTCATGAGCATATTATTATGAATGATAAGAAAATTGTGAGGCACCTTTCAACTAGTTGAAGAACAAATATATAAATATATATTGCCTCTGCTGTAGCCTTCGCATTTGGGGCCTTTCAATCCAGTCTCTTTCTTTTAAAAATTTCCAATCCAAATCAATCTAAAGGCACGCTTTGTAACTGGACCCAAAAAAAATCATACAGATAAACTTAACCCAGAAACAACCCTCCAAGGAAAAAAAAAAATAAAAAAAAAGTAGTAGGTAGTGTTTGAGTACCACATTGATTAAAATGAGTGAGGTTCCTAACCATAAATAAATAAAAATAGAATATACGAGAGGTTTTTGAGCCCTTGGTTTTTAAAAACTCAGGAACCTAGTCTTGTGAAGGAGCGTGTGTTATTATTTGCCATGTGGCTCGGAAAGTGGTAGGTAGAGTGAGAGTACCATATTGATTAAATATGCGAGAGGTTCCTAGCCCAAAACATATATATATATATATATATATGCGAGAGGTTCCTGAGCCCTTGGCTTCTAAAAAGTCGAGAAGCTAGTCTTGTGAAGTAGCGTGCGTTATTATTTGTCATGTGGCGCGGATCATCTGTCCCACTCAGAGTTGAGAATCATGCCTATTTTGGAAAGTCACAATTTTAATAAAAAAAATACTATAATTTTAACCTAAAAAAAAATCATTATAAAAAGTCAATTTCTCTTTACTTTTATGTCATTTTGTAAAATAAATAAATTGCTAAAAAAATTAATCCCCAAAACATTCACAATTGCGGTCCACTCCACTGTAGGAGTGCAACTCAAGCGGGTTCAGTTGGACTGGGAGATTGTCCAAACCCAGCCTAAGTTGTGCTGAGACCTGCCTAAGCCCGAATTGTAGCCCGAGGTTGCTTGTCCAAATTCGACCCAAGTTAAACCTGAATTGCCTGAGTTGCCCAAATTGTAAATGATTTTTCTTTTAAATTATTAAAATTTGACTCTATTTACATTTTTTTTAAGAAAATCATTAATAATATCAAAACAAATAATTTATATAATATAAGAGAAATGTCGCTATAGTAGTCTTTACAATTTATGAGTGAAAATAAAAATAAAAA